AGGTTAAAAATATATAAACTTACAGATATATTTTAAATACATACATAAAAAATACATAAATCATAATAATTTACTGTGGTGATGAAGAGTTGGATGACACTGACATTTTGTCATTTGTGGTAATAACTCCACTTATGGATCATCTGGAAAATCCTGGGAATGGGGATGGTGTTTTAGTCAGAAGTGAGAGTTGTCTGTATGATCTTTTTCTCTTTTTCTTCATGTAATTCATGGTAGCATCTCACTACTTCCTGAATTTCCCTATCAGCTTTAGCAAAGTGATCAGCATTTGGGTCCATGTTTTCAAGCAACTAAAGCCCCTGATTTAGTTAAGAAAAACTTCAGTTAATCCTTTTCCTCATTATTTCTTTTCTAGCATTTATTTCCTCTTCAAAATCCCATTAAGTCCTGATCACCTTCATGATCTATATGTTATTCCACATCAGCAATAGCACGTTACAGGCTGCACCATTGTAGGTAGTACATATTACTATCAATAAGATAAAAAGAAAAAAAAAAGTTGGTAAGTGAGGTTTGTCATAGCACAAATACATCATAATTCTGGGAATATCTGTGTAATACAAAACTAACAGAAGATTTGACTCCCCAAATCATTCTGTTCTCAGTTAACACTGTTTTTAGCAATTACCTTATCTCTTAAGTGGACTTCTTGTGTGAAGCCCATCCTCTTTCAGTATTCCCTTTCGTTTTCTAATGCACAAGTCGGATGATACTTTCCTTTTATTCGTAAGATAAACTTCTTAGCATAAACACTTTAGCATGGCAGTGAAGACCTTCCCTGAAATGTCCCTTACTATCTCTGCAGTTTCATCTTCCACTACTCTCCCTTGTGCCCTGCATTCCAGTGATATGAGACAACACAAAGTTCGTTGAATTGCTATCTTGTTTCATATTTATTTGCTTTTGTTCTTTCTGGAATCCCCTTTCCCTCCTTTGCAAACTCCTGTTCTTCCTTCAATAAGGAGCTCTGGTGGCATAGTGCTATTTGACTGCTAACCAGAAGGTTGGTGCTAACCCACCAGCCACTTTGCGGCAGGAAGACTGGGCAATCTATTTCTGTAAAGATTTACCACCTCGGAAACCCAAAGGGGGTTGCTGTGAGTCGGAATCGACTTGATGTTAGTGAGTTTGGCTTTTTGGATTATTCTTCCTTCAAAACCAACTTCAAAAAAATACATCGACCCATTTCACTTTAATTTTGTGTATTTCACTGTACATAAATTATATTTCAATAAAATGCATTAAAAAAAAGTTCACTGCAGCATCTTCATTGCTTTCTTTCCTCTTTCCCCCTTCATTGTTGAATCCTTTGTACATCCATTGAACTTTACATGTCTCTCTCTTTTTTTTTAAAAAAAAAACCAGTATTATAAACATTTGTTTCAGGGTTTCCTTGACAGTGAATTCCATGAAGGGAAGGATTGTCTTTTTTAACTTTGGATTGAAACAGCACAGTACCTGGCATGCATAAAATCCAGTAAATTTTTAGCTCAGACACATCATATCTGTTAGCACTTCTTAGAACATACTAACAGATAGTGCACTAGATGTTTTACTGTTAGTTCTTAATCTGATAATGACTATCTTAAATTTAGCCCTGCATGTCCAAGTGGAAGGTCTTGAGAATTGGTTGACTTTACTTCTGACTTGTACAACAACCTCTTTCCAGCTTTTTTTATTTAGTGTACTTAGAAATATTCTTAAATTGAAGATTATAGTCACATTTAAATATTTAGATGATTTTGGATTTCATTATTGGAAAGAAAGAATGTGGCCTAGCATTTCATTTCAGAACCTGGACATTTTTTTTCCTTATGTCTCTCCCCTTGCTTCCCCATGGTATGTTTATAATGTGAATGAAACTTCAAAAGAATAGACTAATGTAATTGAACAAGTAACATTTAATCATTTTATGCCTAACCTCGATTGTGGTCATGTCATCTTTGGAAAAGTACAAGTAGTTACTTCATTTTAAGCTTTAGAGGGAAAAGATAGTCCTTAGAAATACATCAGAAGGATCTGTTTCAGCAGGTTTACACAGAACAGAAAAATAATTTGCAATCATGATCTTTAAGTATTTGTTGAAATAGATCTCTAGTCCTGTACTATTTGCATTGAAATTTTAAATAATATTTGTTTTAAACGCTATTCTGCATTTTTCTATAAATAGCTATTGCAACATTTCCTGCTAAAAAAGTGTAGTTACTTAAAGGCAGGTCATCAGGTCAGAACTTTGAGCTTAGCAAATTTTACTGTCTTCCACCAACCAAATGAATAGTCAAATGATGACTATTTTAGCAGATATTTTTAATGAATAAAAATTATAGGTAAGAATTTTTTTCTGTTCCAAAAGTGTTACTGATGTGTTAGTTGTATTTAAATTTATTAATATTAAGTTATGCTCATATAGTTATAAAACTTTAGCATACATTTTAGTGATGAATTTATAACTTGATAAATATTATATAGTGTAATTTTTTAAAAAAATTTGTTTTTCTAAATATTTTCATTGGTTATTACCATTCTGTTCCTTCAGGGGAGGTGCTCTGGTAGTGCAGTGGTTAAAGCTTTAGCTGGTAACCAAAAGGTGGTTGGTTCAAACCCACGAGTAACTCCTTGGGGGAGAGATGAGGCAGTCAGCTTTGTAAAGATTTACAGCTTTAGAAACCCTGTGGGATAGTTCTATTCTGTCCTGTAGGGTTGCTGTAAATTAGCATCTGCCCTGTGGCAGTGGGTTTGGTTTGTTTCTTGGTATCCCTTAAAGGGAACACTGTTGAGTTAAAGCCACAAAGAAAGATTGGGATCACTGCTTTTAATGCTAATGATAGTCATTTCCATAACACCACCAGTGTTTTAGCCAGTAAAATGAAGAATAACCTCTGGCACAAACCTCAGTTGTGCAGATAGCAAGAAGAATGAAATGCTCATAAAATGCTCAGTTTTCCCAGTTGGAAAGCCAGAATATTAGTTATACTAGCTAACACATGCCTAATGGCTTTCATTTTAATTACTGCATAAAATTAATTTATTAAAACAGCAATATTTGAAAATTACTAGCCTGTTAATATTTCTGTTGTAATAACATAAGATCTTACTTTGATAACATTTTCAACAATAAGCTGAAAAGGGAAAAATCCTGTCATAAAATAGTTAAAAAATTGTTTCTTCATCCTGTTTTCATATTACTTTACATATATTTCCATGTTCTAAAACTATTTTTATTTTCCCAAGTAAATCATTAAAGCAATGAAGTTACCCTATCCACTTGATATTTACTCATCTTTTTGAACATTGTTCATAATTAAATTCCTGAGAGTGTTACAAAAATTTTCTCCAAAATGCTTGACGTTTGTGTTTTTTTCCCAAACTTTTGTGCAAGTTTTATTCATTACAATTGCTTGATAAATTACTGCAATATACTATCAGTATTATGGCTCTAATAAAAAAAGGATATGGTCCATTTTTTTGTCCATAATCAGATTTATAATAACTAAAATATAGATAATTTTGCACAGTTATTATTAATATCCAGTAAAACACTAGCATTTAAAGACCTAATCTTTTAAATGTGCCCTTAGAGAATGGGTAAAAATGAGATGCTTACCGACTCTATTTTTCATTGACTAACTTTTAGGATGGTTGACATTTTTATCCTATTAATCCTATTTGAGGAGCTCTGGAAGCATAGTGGCTAAGGTATTTGACTGCTAACCAGGAGACTAGCGGTTCAAACCTACCAGCCACTCCACAGAAGGAAGATGGGGCAATCTACTTCCGTAGTGATACTGCCTTGGAAACCCAAGGAGGGGTTGCTATGAGTCGGATCCGACTCGATGGCACATAACAACAACAATCCTATTTGAAGTTCTCCACTTTTCCTCCATAAAATTTATGTCAATATATTTATTGCTTATGTTAAATATTTCTGAAATATTACTATTAAGCCTTCCTAAAGTTACGAATGCTGAGCTCTGGTAGCATAGTGCCTAAGGCACTAGACTGCTAACCAGAAGGCTAGTGGTTCAAATCCACCAGCCACTCCTTGGAAGGAAGATGGGGCAATCTACTTCCATAGTAATACTGCCTAGGAGTCACTATGAGTCAGGTCTGACTCGATAGCACATAACACCACCACAAAGTTATGAATCACTTAACTCCTGATTAATGGCATTTTGGATCAGGTAGCCATCTTAGGCAAATTAGAATTGAGTTTAATATATTAAAAACAAGATTTAGTCACCACTAGTTTCTAAAGCAAAGATTATATAGGTTTTATATTAAATTACAAGTTATTTTACAAGATTTTCTAGATGGCATACACCTTTGTTTTAGCTACAGTATCATTAGTACAAAAACCTATCTTGTTATAATTTAGCTATAAATTATTTTTTAGAGATTTTTGAGATTTAAAATTTATAGTTAATATTTGAGCTACACTTATGAAGATTTCTAAGAATAAATGTTTCAAAATTGTAAATCATTTCTGTGCTTTTACTGCCTCTAGAGTAAGTAAATTAAAATATGTATTTAAGTAGCATTATCATACTGAATTTCAAAATAGATAAAATATATCTCCCTTTCTAAGTTCTATAATAGTAAATACTGATGCACATTATATCAATTAGCCTATAATCTGGTTTTATTTTTTAAAGAGTTATAAATTATTTTTCTGAAATTTTTCCTAATGTGCTATGAATCTGATTTTAAATTGTACTTAGCAAAGAAAGCATTTCTTATGTGCTCTTGTTTGGAGAAGATGGAAATAGGTGTTTTAAATCTGTATTCATTTATTTAATCCATTTATTGACTCTACTGTTCATTCTCAGACATTTTATTTTTGTCTTATTTGTAGAGGGCATGCTATCATCAAAATGTACACTAGTTTAGATTTATATTTTAAGCATACAAAAAATAACTTTCATTTTATACTGTTTTATTTTTTTAAGTATAAAATAGTTAATATTAATTTTGTTTTCAAGATTAAGAAATGAAGCTCCTTCTGAGGAACAGGAACCTGTATCAGAGGTAAATTTTGTTTTAATTCGTACCATAAGGGTTTATACATTTGAAAGTATTGTTCAGTGTAATTTCTTGAACATTTTCATTTCAGTATGCACATATTGATAACAGTTGTTGGCATGTTATCAGGCACAAAAAAAATTGAGTTTTTTTTTATTTTCATTAGATATAAAAATATCTAACCCTAACTGAAATTATAAGGTATTTTTGTTTTGACAAAGGCATCATGTATTTCACTTGCTTGTTATTTTGTTCAGCTAGTTAGCAATGGAGATAAATTTATGATTTTAACATCCTGAAACCAATAAAACTTAAATCATTTAGCACATTGGAATATTAATATTTCCAGATTATTTAATTTTCTGGAACAAGTAAACTGTCAAAAGTTTTAAGTAATGTTTAAAATAGAAATACTTTGAATAAATTAAATATGTTCCAGGTATAATAAACATGTACTCTGAATGAAAAACTCAGGATTATCATATAAACATTATCTACTGGACAGTCTAATACATGTGTGTAGAAACAGTTATGTTCAAGTACTTAACTTTTTTATGTTAATTTATTTTGATATTTCTTAATATTGCCTTTTTTTTATTATAGTGAAGTGAGGCAGGTTCAGCATTACTTTATTTTTTGAACGATATTTCTGTCTTACAGAGAAACTGAGAAGTAGCTGTGTTCTCCCAAGTAATTTTCTTTATACTACAGAAAATTTTATTTTAAATACAAATTCTGTGGATAGAAGAAGGATTTTCCGGTTCTTTGTTTTTTCTTGAGCTGAGTTTTGGTAGTTTGTATTTTTAGAGGAATTGGTACCGTTCATCTAAATTGTCAAACTTATGTGTATAGAGTTTGTAGGATTCCTTTATCCTTTTAATCTGTGTGAGCTGTGTAGTGGTGGTCCTTTCCTGATACTGGTCATTTGTGTGTTCTTTGTTTTTCTACTGTCACATATTTTACTTTTACATACGTTATAAAACATAACGTGTTACTATTTTTGCGTTGATAGTTATCTTCTAGAGCAAATAAAAAATAAATTTTATATTTACTTTCATTTTTACTGTTTCTAGTGCTCTTTCTGTTTTTTACGTACATCTCTTTCTGTCTTTTGCCTGAAGAACTTCCTTTGATATTATCTCATATTGCAGATTGACTGGTATTAATTAATTCTTTGAATTTTGCTTATTTTAAAAAGTGTCTTTTTCGTCTTTGGAAGATGTATTTTGGTGGGTATGGAATTTTGGCTTGAATTTTAGGTTTTTTTTTTTTCCTTTCAGCAGTTTAAAGAACTCATTACCTTTGGCTTACATGTTTTCTGACAAGATGTCTAAATAATTCCTGTCTTTGTTTCTGTATATGTAATGTTTTCCTGTATATGTAATTGTTTTTCTTTGGTTGCCCTCATGATTGTATCTTTATCTTTAGTTGTCAACAGTTTGAACATGATGTTTGTAATTCTTCATTTATTTATATGATCTGTTTGTATATATGTTTATTTATGGAATTTATCCTGATTGGTATTTTCTGAGCTGTTTTCTATCTCTAGTTCTGGGATTCTAGTTTCATGTATGTTAGACTACTTAATGATGCTATCCCTTATTTTTGGATGCTTTGTTTTGTTTTTTCCCCTACTCATTAATTTCCCTTTTTTTTTTTTAAGTTTGGGTAATTTTTATTCATACCTCTTTTAATTTTACTGTTCAGTTTGTCAAATTTGTCAGATCTACTCATGAGCCCATTAAAGGCACTATTCATCTATCATGTCTTTTATTCCTAGCATATGCATTGATTCTTTCTTAAAGTTTCTAACCCTCTGTTGAAATTTCCATTCTGTTCATGCATGTTGCCCCTTTGTTACCAGAGCATTTGGCATATTAATCATAGTAATTTTTAATTTTCTGTGATAAGTCTAATAGCTGGGGTGTAACTGAATCTGGTTCTTTTGATTGCTTTGTCTCCTGACAGTGCATTGTGTTTTCTTGGTTTTCTGTGTGTCACATAATGTTTGGTTGAAAATCAGACATTTTGCGTAAACTGAGGTAAATAATATTTATATCTGGAAATGGGCACATATTTTCTCATGTTAGGCCACTAATACGGGATTTTTGTCTCTAGTCAGGAGTTGACCTGGTTCTTGGTTTTGTTGTTGCTCTGGTTACCTTCCATATACCACCAACTTCACATTCCTCTAGTATTTCTTTGTGCTTAGGCAGGTGTCCCTAGCTAGCACAAAGGGGACTACTAGCCGAAAGATGAGTGGTTCAGACTACCTCGAGGCTCCTGGGAAATCAGGCCTGGTGATCAGCTTACAAAAGTTCACAGCCTTGAAAATCCTATGAAGTAATTCTATTCTGCATATATGGGGTTGTCATGAATTAGAATCAACTAGATGGCAACTAACAACAAGAAGGGTGAAATTGGATTAGTGGGGAGTTTTTCTCAATGTCCTTGCTCCTCAGTCAGCTTTAGTCTTTCTCTTTGGGACTGAACCTCAAAGAACATCCCTCTCCAGATTCTTGCCTTTCTCCCAGCAGTACTTGTTGAGTGGTTGAGTGCTAGCTAGCCCAGTGGTTGGTAACGGGTAACTGGGTGTGCAGTGATGGTCTCTGTTGTTGTGGTTTACCCTCAATCTTAGTGACTCTGTGTTCCAGAATTTAGGAGTAGAATTTTTACTTCTTCTGTTTCCCAGCTCTTAGGGTTCCTGTGCCCTGAAAGTAACAAGGTTTGCTTCTTTTCCTTCTAAATATGTAAAGTACAAACATGAAGAAATTTATGAATCCATGCTTTCATAATATCACCCATTGAATCTCTCCTGATACATTCTTACTTGACTAGAATAAATCATGGAACTTTCATTTTCCTTTGATTGCCTTGCTACATGTATGTCAAGTGAAACAAGCTTTTTAGTATATAAACCAAATATGACATTAAAAAGACAAGAAGTATAATTCTCAAAAAAAGAAGAAAAATATGATCAGATATGGACCAAAATTATAGGGGACAGTTACAAGTTTGGCTAGAATAATATAATATTCCAGCTACTGAAAATAATCAGTTCTTTTAACATTGACAGTATTAGAATATATTTACCATGAAATTCAGAATTAAATAAAGAATTTTCTTTGAATAGTAAAATAAATAACCAGATGTTTGAAATTTTAAGAAACTAGTGAATAAAAGTGTGAGCAAATAAGTAAAATGACATTTGAAATAAATTTTAATAATACTTTATTGTGGCTACCTATTTCTGGTAAAATAAAAATGACTTTATTAGAGCATGGATGCATTCAAAGACAAGATAGCAATTTTAGAGAATCTATTTCACATCATGGCCAAACATATTCAATAGACAAGTTTTGTACATTATGTGTACACACATGAAGTAGTGAGTTATTATTAATTATGACTGGCTTATTTCAAAAAATCTTGTCTTTATTTTGTTTTCCATGCATTTTTTTCTTTTTTTTTTTTTTTAAAAAAAAAACAGTAATACAACTGCTAAAATAAAATATTTGCAACTAAAAAAATGGAAGGTTTTAAAAACAGATTTGTGATCACAAAAATTCCATGTTTAACATGGTACTTTTTAAAAATGGAAGTATTCTTAAAAGTAAATTCAAACTGATAGTTTTGTAGTTGATGCTTTGCAGAAGGTGATAAAGAGAAACAAAAATGGTGGAATTTGCACAAGTGATTTTAGATGTTGGTGTATTCTGTGCAAAAACAGTTTACCTCCTAGAAGATCATAGGGAGCTCTGGTAGTGTAGTGCCTAAGGCACTTGACTGCTAACCACAAGGCTGGCAGTTCAAACCCACCAGCCACTCCTCGGAAGGAAAATGGGGCAATGTACTTCTGTAGTGATACTGCCTCGGAAACCCAAGGAGGGGTTGCTATGAGTTGGGTCCCACTGGACGGCACATAACCACCACCACCAGAAGATCATAAGAAATTATTGGAAGTCCAAATACTGGAATGTTTCTAAATAAATTGAACGTATAGGACGTTATAGGAGCTCTGGTAGCATAGTGCCTAAGGCACTTGACTGCTAACCAGAAGGCTGGCGGTTCAAACCCACCAAACACTCCTCGGAAGGAAGGTTGGGCAATCTGCTTCCGTAGTGATACCACCTTGGAAACCCAAGGAGGGCTCATTATGAGTTGGGTCCGACTCAGTGGCACATAACAACAACAACAACAACAACAAGGACATTATAATCATATGATTAATCATAAAAAGGAACCTGTGTCATGATTGTCTAATAAAAATAGATCTGAAATGCTATTATAGTGTTGAAATACTGTTAAGAATACAAGATATACTTTTCCTTACATTTTGATTATACTCCAGATGTAGTCCATTATGAGCAAATGTGTTGAATTTTTAGATATATTTACATTAACAATAATGAGAAGAAAAAAATAAGAAAACGACGAGAACAAAGTTTTATTAACTTGAACGACATGCATAAAAGACTGGAAAATTATATCTCAATAAAGCTATTTGTTTATTTTAACTTTATTGTGATTTGGGTGAAAGTTTACAGAACAAACTCATTTTCCATTGAACAATTCATACACATTTTGCTTCATGACATTGATTGCAATACCTACAATATAACAAATATGTACACAGAAATATTGTCTACCTACCCATAGATTAGTGTTTCTCATTACTAATAATGCAGTATTGGGTATGTAATAGTGTTTACCTTTGTTGTCTGTACCTCTTGTGCACTTTCTGTGTCTTCCTTTTCCTCACTTCCTGTTTTTGGTTTCCTTTTTCCCTATGTCCTTCTTTCCTATGCTTTCCTGCTTTCTGAACTTTCTCCCTGCACAAATGCTGCCCTTCTGATCGCTCACAGTTGATTGTTCTAAGGAGTGCATTTCCGTGGTGTAATTGTTCACCATGTAGGCTTGTGTATTGTTTGAATGAAGATTAAGCCACAGGAGTGAATTCGGTGTCAGGCCTGAAAGGGACTAGTGTCCATAGTCTTTGGGGTTTC